ATAGGTGGAAGTCTTTTCTCTCTGTCCTCACACAGCCAAAGGGACAAAGGATTTCACACTTACGACCTGACCACCTCCTAGTGCCTGGTCCTCAGGGTTAGGATTTCAACACAGGAACTTAGAGAAGGGGCACAAATGTCCAGGCCATAGCAGATAACCTGGCAGATTCCTATAAATGTATATGACAGTTTGAAAGCATTGCCACAGAATGTTTCTGTGCAAGTTTTGTGATCTTAATCAAAAAATATATTAATGTTTTCCCACATGGCCAAAATGCCTGCAGTGTGTCCTCAGAGTGACTTCCGTTCCTTTCTGCTTTTAGTTTCTTCATCTTCCCCAAATGCTTCCACCCTCATATTTATCAATAACCACCCAGATGTCTGTATTTAAAAACTTTTTCTTATTACAAAAGTAATAGAGTGCAGAAAATTTGCGGTTTTGAAAGGCATAGAAGATAAAAATCATCTGTGCTTTTGTCACCTAGAAAAATTGACTGTTTAAAAAATGAAAATCTTTTGTGACCTGCTTTTTTTCTGCCGTAAGTATGCATTATCAACATTCACATTGTTAAATACTCTAATGCATCATGATTTATAACATCAGTTTAAGTGGGCCATAATTTGTTTAATTTATAATCTAGGTTGGGTATTTTTTCTTTCTAGTTTGTGCTATTAAAAATAACTATATAATGAAAATCTTGCTCAAATTTGCAAGCCTCTCTATTATGTCACAGGATAAATTTCTAGAAGAGCAATTGCCAGATCAAAAGGCATGGGCACTTTTATGGCTTAAACATGTGATTAGGTTGTCCTCCCTAACAATGGTTCCAGTTAACACTGTTGCAGGATGTGTGAGAGTGTGCTACTTTTCTTGCACCTTTGCTCAGACTTAGTTGAGAAGGACACTTCAGAGAACCTTCCCCACCAATGCCCACTGGTTTTCTAATACCTTCAGTCGTATTATCTTCTTATGATACTCTATTGGGCTATTTTTTTAATTAACATTTTTTATTCTAATTTGTTACATATGACAGCAGAATACATTACAATTCATATTACACGTATAGTCTGTGGGGCTATTTTTAATTCTTAAATCAAAAAGTAGAAGTTGCAGAAATTTATGGTATAGAACATGTTTATGTATGTGTACATTGAAAAGTGGCTAAGTCAAAATGGCAACATGAGCATTACCTCCATACTTTTGTGTGTGTGGTGAAAACTCCCCAAATTTTCCAAGTAATATATTATTATTAACTATAGTCACCATGATGTATAATTGATCTCTTGAATTATTCCTCCTATCTACTGAAAGTTTTTTCTTTTGGCAACATCTCAGTACCCTCAGCCTTGGGTAATGACCATTTTGTTCTGTTTCTGTTTGATTTCACACTCCACATAAGAGTGAGATCATGTGGAATCAATATTTTTTATTATATTTGTTATAACTGGATATGTATTTATATGGTTTTTAAAATTTTCCCCATACTAAATTCTCCATGAGGACAGAGATCATATATAGCTTATTGACCCCTGAATATCCAACACAGTACAGTGGGAAGAGCATATACTATATGCTCAGTATCTTTTTGGTAAATGAGTAAATGAATGTTGAAATTTCTTCTCTGATTTGACAGGTAAATATCTTACTGCTAATGAGTATTTGAGGTTGAACTTTGTTTTTATTGGTTATTTAGTGTTTTTTGTTAATTGCCTATTTATGTCTTTGTTTATTTTTCTGAGAAAATGTCTATTCAAGCTCTTTCTGGCTCTATAGGCTCCTATTCTGAATATGGCATATTTTCTTTGTAGCTTTCCAATTTTATTTTCTAAAATATTTTGTTTACTTGATTTATTTCCTATTTCTTGTGTTTGATCTGTAAGCACCTGAGTCCAAAAGCATTGTTGACGTCCGGTCCACCTTTGATTTTCCTCATATGGGTTTACCTCCCTGTCTTAATTTTTTTTGCACATCACAACTTCCCTCTATTTACCTGGACTTTCAAACAGCTCTCCCATCCCATTCAGTTTAGTCAGCTTATTAACTTGTCTAGTTTGAATGTTTTTTCCTTACCTTTTTGAAATGCATTGTTTCTAGCTAAGAGCCCATAATTTTGTTATCTTCAAACTATGTTGGGCAAATATTTTCTCTGAAGGGCAACATAGTAGCTACTTGACTTGTGAGATGAATGGTATGTGTTGTAACAGCTTAACTCTCCTTGCAGCAGCCATAATAATAAATAAATAAGTGTGGCTGTGTTCCAACAAAACTGGGGATACTGAAATTTGAATATCATAATTTTCATGTGTCACAGAATATTCTGCTTTTGACTCCTCTGTGACCATTTTAAAATGTCAAAACTATTCTTCACACATGGACCATACAAAAACCAATGGCAGGCCAGGTTTAACCAGGGAGCCAGGTTTGCTGACTGTCATAGGCTGTTTCAGAGAGATAGATCAAGTCGTCACCATCCAGCCATTTACTTACCAGTTTTCTGTATTTCAAAATCCCTTAGTTTCTGTAACACTTGAGGCTCCAGGCTATTTTTCTGATCTTGTTATCCATCCCTGGCTAATCAACAATTCTTACTGCTCCATCATCTTTCCTGTTTCTGTGGATTTCACCTCTTGTAATATCCTTTTTCTATTCCCACTCTCCCTACACTCTAGTTAAAACTCTTGCCTAGCATTCTAGCTTCAGTAGTCAACTGATTGTCCATCACCCTTCCAATCTAATTGCCAAATTATGGTTCTGATCATGTCTCTCCCTTGCGAAAAATCTAGCATCATATATCCAAGAAAAACTGCTTAGTTTGGCATTTAAGGTGTTCAATCTACCCTCCCAGCTATCTCTTCTACAATTTTCCCAATGCCTTCAGGCAACTATTTTTCTTTGTGAAGTTTCTTCTACTTTCAGTGCCTTCTTCACAATCTCTGCAAAAATTGCCCATCCTTCAAAGCACTTCTAAAAATGAAACATGCTGAGTACTTGTAATTTAATGTGATGGATTCTTTTTTTGCCGGGTGGGGAGTACTAGCAACTGAACCCAGGGATACTTTACCACTGAGTCACATCCTCAGCCTTTTTTATTTTGAAACAGGGTCTTACTAAATTACCAAGGCTGGCCTTGAACTTGAATTGTAACAGCTTAACTCTGTCCTGCCTCTGGCTCCTGAGTCACTGGAATTATAAGCATGCATCTTTGTACTGGCGGGATTCTCTTTATTAGCACTTAGAGTCAATTTTAGGTTGTAGCTGTTTATACATTCATTAATTTCCCTCTTAATTGTAATTGCCTCAAGAGGAATGATGTTGTCAAAGGTGACCTTCTTTGTTCCCTGAAACACCTAGCACAGTGATAATTTAATAAGTTGTTATGGTAAGAACATGTTGGGATATGATAAAAGAACAATAAGGAATGTAAACAAAATAGTTTAACCGACATGGAAATGCCCAAGAAAATATTAAACTAGGGAAAAACTTAAATCTTAGAAACTAAATAGGAAGCCATCAAGCTGCCAAAATGTTGAGGGATTTCTGCTAAATGTGGTGCTATTGAAGGATGGGCAGGTTCTTGCAGAGATGGTGAAGAAACTGCCCATCCTTCAATAGCAGTTGAGATGGAGAAGTTGCAGTGATATTGGATGAAAAGAGGAGTGAATAATGAAGAGTGAATTCTGCCAAGGGGAGCCCTGCCATACCAAAGGATCAGGACAGGGTCATATTGAACTCCTTCTGTGCAAAGCCATGATTAGCACTCTCCATACCTCACCTCCTAGTTTTCACATCAACATATGAGAGATGGAAGTTATCTTCATTTTTCAGATAAAGAAATAGGTTTCTTGGGCTGGGGCTGGGGCTCAGCAGTGGTGCACTTGCCTGACATGTGTGAGGCACTGAGTTCAATTCTCAGCACCACTTTTAAATAAAATAAAAGTGTATCAACTAAAAAAATATATTTAAAAAAAAAAAGAAATAGGTTTCTTCACACAGGTTTTAAATAATGACAGGCCAAGTAAAAGATGACCCCCCAAAAAAAAGTTTAGAAGGAAAAAATATTATAGTGATTGTATCTTGGTGCTAGGAGTTTGTGTAATACGTATTTTTCTTTATAACTTCACAACTTCTCTAATTTAGTTGTCAACTGTAATGACCTGAATGCACATGACTTCATGATCTCTCTCACTTCATTGCTTTGTTCACTAGACATGGACCTTGTGCATGTGCTGCAGTCTGTTCTCTGGTCGCCTACTCCTTAACTGCTACCATGCATCAGATTTTTACTTTATTGGGCCTCTCTGTGCCAGTGGCTTCATTTGTTGTACTAAAATACTTAGACTCCTGTTATTTTAACTTGGGCCTCTCCTATCTACTTCCAATCTAAGTTTAGATTTTCATTTGTTATTTCCTTAACTTTATTCTGTTGATTTTTTTTTTCCCCTCCTACTTTCTCAAATGTCTGATCTCCCTCCTATTTCCTTGTATCTTTAGGAGGGCCCTTGCTTTTGACTCTCAGAATACTACAGCTATCAGAGTTACCCTCTGCCTTCTAGCCTCACATACAGAGTCTTTCTGTGCCACTGTTTTTCATCCTTCGCTTCTGTTGCCACAAAATAGCTTTTCCTTCCTACTCTTTAGGGCTAGTGTCCCACCTGTGACTCACTCATTCTGTGTCTCCTGGTATTAGGCACTCACAGTCACTAAGTATGTCTTTCATAAACATTTAGTATTTTTATAAATCGAAAATTAGTGGCAAAAATCCCTCTGAGTCTGTTATAGAGAATGTTATAGTAGAGAATTCCTCATGTCTAGTTTTTGAAAATTTTACCTGCATATTTACGTGGTATGAAAAGTCACAGTGCTACTTCTTAAGAACAGTGTTTTATCCATTTGGTTGAAGGACATTTCCTTTTATAGATATTTCCTTTTTATGCTGTTTTAGATTTATCTTTGACTTTATGTATGTCACAGGCTGTGACTTGACTTTTTTTGCCCCATAGTTGGAGAACACGTTCAAATCAGTCATTGCACAAATTGGACCTGGAGGGACCATCAATCCAGAACTAAAACATAAGATAAAATTTGTAAGTATTTTCGTTTTATTGGAAGCAAGAATAATTGTTTATAAATTCAGATATCATTTGTGGTTGAGTTTAATTTGCTTGTACTTACACCTGATACCTGATATTTTCTAATATATTGCAAATAGAATAGCTATTCTTTTAAAATAAAAAAATACATAAAGTACACACTATATAAAATTTCAGTGTAAAACTATTTAGGAAATATAAGTTCTTCCTTCACTTCCTCCCCTCACCCTAATAATTCTAGTTTTAAATAAATGTTCATCAAATACTATTCCATATATGTGTGGTATCTCATTATGTTTATCATGTTTCATTTATGAGATCCATGATTAATTAAATTTGGGTTATTTAAAAATGCTGTAGTAAATGTCCTTGAACATTTATCCAGTAGTGGTTGCCAATCAAAAGCATTGGCTATTTATGTTTTGCTAATAACTGTTACTACATTGCCCTCTGAAAGATTTGATTGAACAAATTTACTCTTCCACTGACAGTGAAGTGTTACTCTCCAGTCATGTTGTTTTAATTTATAACTGATTTTTATCCTGAGAGTCTTTAATATGCTTATAATCATATTTTTAAAAATGTGAACTGCCTATTCATGTCTTTGGCCTAATCTGTTGTTTTCCCTTATTAAAATATGAAAACTCTTTGTTTTTATGCATTGGGCCAAAGGGTGAACACATTTAAGATGTTGTGGGAGCTATTGATTCTGATTTGAATGATCAGGTGCCATCGTGGCTCTTACTGCCTTATACTGTCCCATTGCAGGGGTTGTGACTTTACTGGGAGAAATGCAAAATCCCTGGTACATTCAGGCTGTGTTTTGATTTTTGTTTTTGAAACTCGAATACCTAATAATAATTTGTTATAGGATATTAAATATGACTTTTATGGTACCAAAAAATTAGAGAAAAGGTAGTGTTCATTGATAAAGGGTTGGTTAAATTATCCACATAGAGTAAGGAATATGATGTGACTTGTAAGAAAGCTTATGTACAGCTCTCTTAGCAAACATTGAATTATCTCCTTCACATGTTGAACTTTAAAACCAGGTTTTATAGAATACCATGTTCAGTATTCTCCTCTCGGAGTGAGTGATGTGGGTATACACACACACACACACACACACACGTTTCATATGCATGCTTTCTGAAGTACATCATGGCTGTCTCTGGGATTTTTGAAAAAAAAATTTAATTTTTTTTTAGCTGTAGCTGTATATGATACCTTTATTTTGTTTATTTTTATGTGGTGCTGAGAATCAAGCCCAGTGCCACACACATGCTAGGTGATTGCTTTACTACCGAGCCACAACCCCAGCCCCTTGAAATTTTTACTTTTTCCTGAAACTTGAATTAGAATTTTGTATTAAATATAATCAATTAAAAACTTTTATGCTATATTGGAGATAGAACCAGTCATTTCTAGGGATTTATTTAAAAAAATCATTGGACAAATGTGCATAATGAAAATATGAGGTTAACAATTGCAGTATTTGTGATAATGAAAAATAAATGACTATAAAAAGGATACATTTAGGTACCTTGAATGTGAAACTATAGGGTTGTGAGGTTCTTACGTTTTATGTGACATAGTATGGATACATTTAGGTACTTTGAATATTTTGAAAAACTTGTATCTTGTTTATCCATGTTTACTGATTAGAACAATGATTATGCAAACTTTAACCTATTTTTATATGAACATAAATGTTTTAAGTGGATATGGGCAATAATGGATTTTTTAAAAAAAGTTTTTTTAAAACATACTGTTTTAGTTGTTGATGGACCTTTATTTTATTTATTTATTTATTTATAGTGGTGCTGAGGCTCAAACCCAGTGCCTCTCGCATGCTAGGCAAGTGCTCTTTCACTGAGCCACAACTCCAGCCAATGGCTATTTATTTTATCTTTGCTTAACTGTATTTTCTGAAATTTTCTATAGCATCCATTTGCATTTTTTATAATTAAAATGTTTGAATATTAATGCACAATATTAATTGTATGTGAGCTGAAAGCAAATATATTAGCCGGGCTAAAGAAACACAGGACTTTATGGGAGTTGTGGCATTGTAGGATTATGTAATAGTGATTTCTCAACTCTGGAAATATTAGGAATCACTTTTATATATGTTTTAAAATCATAAAACTGATTTTTTTTAAATAAAAGCAATATATGATATATTTGAATCATAATGTTATTTTTGCCTTTGTTACTATTTATACTATCTTATTTTAAACATTTGGTCTCCTAGTACTTGAATTCTATGTTGTATTTCATTTTCTTTTTATTAGGTTGTATCTAAGTTTCCAGAGGGTTTGTTAATTTCTAAACTTCTTGGGGAGTTTGAGGTAAGTGTTCTTTTTTACTGTGATTTACATTTCTTGTGATAGAAATTTTGTTGCTATTCCTTGGATCCCTCAAGTCTATACCCTTAACACTTAAATACTGTTTTGCATTTTAGTGTCTTTTTCTTCATTACAAGAGTTAAGGATATTTACTTGATTATGCATAAGAGGGCTCTTTTTACAACTTGGTGATAACATCTTTGGAATGAAAATTGATTTATTTTTGATGTCTAATAATACCAAGTGTCAATTGGGAATATGGAAAAATAATATCTCATTACACATTTTTGATTTTTTTATATCCAGTGAGATTAAGAATGAAGGGTAAAATAAGGGCATATTCAGATAATCAAATAGATAATTGTAAACACACCTGCACTATAAAGAGATGCTAAAGAATGTACCTCAGGCTGAAGAAAATGATGCCAGATTGGAACTTGAATCTCCAGGAAGAGCTGTAGAATAAAGGATATATGGTATATCTAAAAATCTTTCTTTCACCAATTAAAATATGACTATTATTACAAAGATGATAGTATATAATTGGTTTTAACTTAAAGATGTATCGTGCTGCAGCATAATGAATCAGGGCAGAATGTGAAACTATAGGGTTGTGAGGTTCTTATGTTTTTTGTGAGGTGATACAATAAGGCTGAGAAGTTAAAGATGTGTGCTATAATACCTAGAACAATAATTAAAATGCAGTTACAGCATAAATTTAATAGACGCTTTAAAATGCAATTGTATAAAAACATATTGTAAATGCAAACAAAGACTGGGAAGGAGGGAACAGGCAATAGATATACCATTGGAATCAACAGAAATTTTTTTTTTATTAGCTACACATGACATTACAGTGATCTTGGCAATTCATACATTTGAATCATTGGGGTATAATTTCTCATTTTTCTAATTGTACAGTGGAATCAACAGAAATTAATAGTGGTAATTTTAAATCTAGTTATAGTAATTTCATAAGTGTAAATGGACTACTATTAAAATTTGGAAATGAGACTGTGGAAAGCAAGATGCAACTATGTTATCTACAGGGAACACATCATAAATGTGAGGATAGATTGGTTCAAAATAAAAGATAAGAAAGATATACAAGAAATATAAAAAAAACTGAAGGGACTAAAACAACTTCAGATAATACATTGGGCTTGAAGCCTGCTTTATCAGCGATTGGCACATTCCATCAGGGTTAAGGGCCAGTTCTTCAGGAAGACAATCATAAATGTGAATTCACCTAATAAATAGTATAAACATTCTCTGAAGTTTGACAGGATTAAGAATTCTATAAATCTAGTTGGAGATCTTAATACTGTCTTCCCAAATGGCTAAAAAAAAGAACATTCTGTATCTTGTATATATATTGAAGCTAATTGAATGGTAAACGTAAGTTTACCATTTCAATATGAATTTTATAAAAAGTTAAAAGATTTTGAATTCTAGATAATAATGTATGTGCTGACATTTTTCGGGGAAAACATTGATGTCTGAGGTTACTTTGAAATATATAAAAAATGAATTGATGGATGGATTTATTGATAAAACAAAATAATGCTGATAATTCTATAATTTGGGTGATAGAGTTCTGTCCAATTCTTTAACCTTTTTCTGTTTTAAATTTTTATAAGAAAAATGTTATTAAAAGAACAAGAAAAGATAAAAAAGAATTTAAGAAAAAGTAACAGGTATTAAACATAGGCAAAATAAAGTTAACATATGAATAATAATGCCAAAGAAAAGAATAACAAAAAATTCAAATAAACTTTACTGAAATGAAATATTTGAAACTATTATTGAAAGAGTGCACTAGCAGCTGGGGTTGTAGCTCAGTGGCAGAGTGCTTGCTTGGCATGTGTGAGGCACTGGGTTCGATCCTCAGCACCACATAAAAGTAAAAAAAAATAAAGGTATTGTGTCCATCTACAACTAAAAGATAAAAAAAAAATTGTACTGCATGCTTAAATCATTAACCTAGAATAACCAACACCAAATTCGTAGATTTCAAAGAAAAAGGAAGAAATTCCTTTGACCATTTAAAACAAAAAGAGCAAGTGACTTGTAAGGAAATAAAATTAGATCATTAGACATTTTTATATCTTGTTTTGCCAGAGGAAAGTAACATATTTCAAATATTCAAGGAAAGAAAATGTGAGCCAAGAATTTTATGCTAGCAAAACTGACTCAACTGTAGAGGCAGACTACAACCATGCAAGAATTCAAGAACTGTTGTTCCCTTGAACCATTCTGAAGACATCTTCTACAGAGTCATCAATGTCATATTAATAAAAGGACTGACATTTAATGCCACTTCCACAACCAAAACCAAATGAAGTTAGGAGAAAATATAAAATGGCTGTATACTCTTGTGAATACATACACAAAATTAAATGGAGAAGAAGGGTTGAATATATGCCAAAGTTGAATTTTTATTATATTATGGTAATCTTATTCTAAAACCATTGTTATATGATGGGTACAAGGCAAATTAATTGTGAGATTAATAAAACACTAGTATATACAAGTGTTTTCTAATTGCATAAATCAAGACTGGAACATTTTGTCATAGCAGACCAACAAGGAAACTGCTAAGAAAAGGGTCATATCAAAAGGGCTTACAAATCCACTTGAAGAGTTATTTTAGGCTTTAGTAGGATAATAATAGCAATGACTTAAAGCAATGACCAAATATATTTAATTCCATGAGTTTATATGATATTAAAAACAATTGGTTAACATAGAAGACGATAGAGAACCTTTTGAAAAATGATAAATTTAATCACTTATCCTGATTTTTCTAAGAGAATTGTATGACTGAGTAACCAATAAAAAATGAGGGGAAGAATATCCTTATAAAAATTTTCCAATTAAATAATGAAAACTAATTGATAGAATAACTCTATTAAAGCCCTATATAAAATAATGGATCTAGGTACTGACCAGTGATGGTCCCTAAGAACACCAAAAAGACTATTGGATATTGTGTGCCTTTTTAGAACACACAGGCTCATTTACAGTCTTGTCAAAGAGATCAGTCATGAATTTGATCCAGTTGCCAATGAAGGAAACGATATTCCACTATGAGCTTGTCATCTGAAAAATCCAGTTGGGAAACTAAATCATGTAATAGGATATATACATAGCTTTTGACAGTACAAGTATAAACTCTAAGGAAAAATAATAAGAGTAAAGTTGAATGGGGGATGGAAGGGAATTAAGGAAAGTGGAAGTAGAAATATATCAAGTCTATAGTTGTCCATAGTTGGGAGTCAGTAAAGCAGAAAGCATAACAAAGGAGAAAGCATAACAAAGGAATTAGGACAAAATATATTTGACACATCAATGCATTGACTCAGGTATCCTATCAAAAGAAAATGATTCTCAGGCTCATAAAACAAAACTCTACTGTTTCATGTACTAATAGGAAACTAATATCTCTATTTAACAGCAAAAGGCAAGATTCGTATGATGTATATAATCTTAAAGCATATTTAAGTTTTCACAATTTCTGGAAATTTGCATGTAATGATAGTTACCTCCAGGAGATGATTGCTAGGTGACTGAAGAATTGGGGGTGAGCTGGAGACTGTTCTGCTATATAACCTTCTTGAACCTTTTGAATGTTACCTATTCAAAAAGTTAGTAACATTTTTAAAAAATCCTTTCAACCTAGTCTTACGTTCAATTGAATTGTATTTCTATAGTCCTAGACACTTATAAGAAGGGTAAAAAAAACTATTAAAGACTAATGAACATAAAAGGAAAAGAAGCCTTAAGATATAATGTACAGGGCTGGGGTTGTAGCTCAGTGGTAGAGTGCTCGCCTAGCACGTATGAGGCACTGGGTTCAAACTTCAGCACCACATAAAAATAAACAAAATAAAGATATTGTGTCCATCTACAACTAAAAAAAATATAAAAAACATATAATGTACAAAGAAGTAAGTAGAGATATTAACTCTACTTTGCCATCACTCCTGCCCTATCTATTCTCTACCAATTCTTTTTCCTTTGGGATGCTCATGGGTGGCTATAAATGTGATATTAATGACCCTTGTTCTATTGCTCTATCATGGTTCAAGAGATAAAAGTTGAATTAAGAATTTGATCATTTTAATGGTGGGTCTTTTTTTTTTAATTGTGCAGCTTTTATTTGAAATCTTCATATCCTTTCAAGTGGGGTTGTATCAATACAGAGCATTCAAACAGTTTTAACTGTTAATGAGCTGAGTAACAACTCGGCTCTCCATTACCATAGTGAAAGACCTAAGATAACTGAAACAGAAAAGGCTAAGATTGGTTCATAATTTGGAGGCTCTATTCATGCCTGATTTCTTTGGGCCTGTGGCAAGGCAGCACTTCATAGCAGGAAAATGTAGAACATGTAGCAGAGCAAAATCACTCATGTTATTCAGGGAACAAAAGGAGTGAGGAGGGGGCCAGGCTCCCACCATCTTCAAGAGCACACCCAGTGACCTAAAGACCTCTCACTGGGCCCCACATCTTAAAGTTTCCATCATATCCCTGCAGTATTACCTTGAGTCTACACCTTTTAACACAGAGGCCTTTGGGGAACATTCAACATTCAAAATATAGCAGACTGAATCATTCAATCTATTTAATATCTACAGACTTATTTAAATTTGTTTTAATTAGGTCTATATGACAGCAGAATGCATTTTGATTCAAGGTACACAATTGTACAACTTTTCATTTCTCTGGTTGTACACGATCTAGCGTTGCACCATATGTGCACTCATACATGTACCTAGGGTAATGATGTAAGTCTCATTCCACCATCTTTTCTGCCCCTATGTTCCCACCCCACCTGTCCCTCCTTTGCCCAATCAAAGTTCCTCCATTTTTCCCATACCCTCCTCCCCTTATGAATCAGCATCCACTTATCAGAACATTTAGCCTTTGGTTTTGGGGGATTGGTTTACTTGGCTTAGCATGATATTCTCCAACTCCATCCATTTATATGAAAATGCCATAATAATTTTTTTCTCTTCTAATGCTGAGTGATATTCCATTGTGTATATATCATAGTTTCTTTATCCATTATTTATAAATGGTGAATCTTTTGACAAGGGAAAATGTACCTGTTCTCCGTGCAGTTTTAACCCAAACTAGTGTGGTACCCTATATTTTCTCTCCCATCTTTATTTGGTATGAATTTTCTTCTTTACCAAGGCAATAAAATCAAATTGTACACAACAGGAAATACACTCATAAGAAACCTGCTTATTTTGCCCAACTTCTAAGGTGAAATAATAAAATTTAAGGAAATATTTTAAATAGTAATGCCAATTCTGCATGTTGAAAATGGTCAAGGATATTCTTTCTCTGAAAAATATAGAAATAAGGATAGGCTTATTATGAGTTTTGTAGTTTATACATTCTTCACTCCCAAATACCTTTGCTTTATAATCAAATATTGTTAAAAATGAGAGGTGAAAAGTTCCCCTCACTTTCACTTCAATTTATCATATACTCTCAAGGGAGCTTGACATTGGCCTAGAAGTTTATGGTAAGGGATTATTAGCCTCTTTTGTAAAATGCTTGGGTGGAAACACAGCTTTACACCCAAGTTCACTGAACCTTAAAATTTTAGCTTAGCTAAATTCAAATTAAAGCATTGTCCAAGAGTATCTGTACATATTTTATTTCTGCTATCTAATGTTTTTCATAATTTCCATTTATTTTTGTGACAGGCAGTTTTTAAAGAGCAACTTTCACCCAAAAAATTGGGATTTTTAAATGTGACAGAACTTGTTGGAGCTCTTAGTGACATTCTTCGTGTTGAGTTCAGGGAAGGAGAACAAGACTTGCTAGTGTTTGATGCTGATATGAGGCCGGTACTAACAGGTAAGTTGTCCCACAGTGTAATGCAAACCTCATTTTTAATTGTTTTTGTAAGTACAGGAGAAAAGAAAATATTGGCTAGGTAAGAGTCATCTTTATAACTACATCAGACAAACATATTATTGAAATGTTTTATGTGTAATGATCTTTTTTCTGGTGGTATTTATTGTAATAAAGTTAACTGTATTATTAATTTTAAAAATTGAATTTTTTTTCTTGATGGAGATTGACTTGAAGAGCATTCTGCCTCAGAGCTACATACCTAGTCCTTTTATTTTGAGGCAGGGTCTTGCTAAGTTGCCCAGGTGGGCCTCAAATTTATGATCCTTCTGCCTCAGCCTCTGAATTTTTAAAATTAATTCATTGTGCCAGACACAGTGGCACTTGCCTATAATCCCAGCAACCCAGGAAGCTAAGATAGGAAGATTGCAAGTTCAAGGCCAGCCTCAGCAATTTAGCAAGGTTTGAAGCAATATAGAGAGGTCCTGTCCCACGATAAAAAATAAAAAGTGATGGGAATATAGCTCAGTGGTTAACTATCCCTGAGTTCAATCCCCAATACCATAAATAAATAAATGAATTTTTTAATAATCCTGAAGAGAATTTTCTGATTAAATGGTCTGATAGTTCAGTGGTTAACTTTGGCTATATATCAAAAGCATTTTAGAAAGATGTGGAGATTCAGAATAAATGGGTATGCATTCATAACCCCTCTTGCATTTTTAAATAACTATTTGGGGATAATTTTAGGCTTATGGAAAAATTGCAAAGGTAGTACCAAGTACCCATATTCTTTTCATACATTTCCCCCTAATATTATTATCTTTAATATTACTGTAATTTATTTGTCAGAGCTAAGACATTAACATTGGCACATTGTTACTAACTAAACTCCAGATTCTATTACCAATTTTTCAAAAAATGTTTTTCTGTTTCTGTATCTACTCCAGAATATCACATTGCATGTAGGGCACTTGAGTTTTGTTTTTCTTTTTGGCTTAGGCTTTAAAAAAACTTTATTGAGATAACTGTTGATTCACATGCAATTATAAGACAATTCAAAAGGATCCTATGCATTCTATACTCAGTTTCCCCAATGGTAACATTTCACAAAACTTATAGAACAGTAGGATACTTAGATTTTTATAAGCTTCTACAAATGCTTATGATGGACAGCTACATTCCCAAAATATAAATATCTTTATTGGATTTGTGATTTATTAAAAAAACTCATGTTCATTTAAAAATATTCAAAGAGCACTAACAATAAAAAGAAGGTGAACACTTATTATTTTATGAATATCCTAGAAATAAAGCTGTGAGGATTTTTACATAATCTTCCAGATTTGTTTCAATATGTGTTTAAGCATAGCTAGATTTTTTTTAATCCACAAAAGTTTATTTAAACCATTCTAACAATACAGAGGTAACTAATGTTAATAGTTTTAGTGTGTGTGTTTCTGGACCTTTTTTAAAAATGTCTTCAGTTGTTGATGGACCTTTATTTTATTCATTTGTTTATATGTGGTGCTGAGAATCAAACCCAGTGCATGCTAGGAAAGTGCTCTGCCACTGAGCCACAACCCTAGCCCTCTGGACCTTTCCTTTATAATACAAATTATCATGTATATAATTTTTATTTCATAAAGCAGTATTATATAAATATTGTATAAATCATTTTTATACTTCAATTATTGTGTATGTTTTCCATATTATTTATGTACAAGTTGATTTTTGAGTACATATAATTCTTTTACATAACTATAATTTATTGAACCAGTCTCCTATTGATGGACATTTAGATTGTTCCCATTTTTACCATTATAAGAAATATAGTAGTAAAAACTCTTATTTTTTAATTTCTTATGGTGCTAGAGATTGAACCCAGGACCTCATACATGCTGGCAAGTGCTCTACCACTGAGCTTCCTCCTCAGCCCCATGATACATATTTTTGTACCCACATCTTTCTGTTTATTTCTTTCGGAACCACTGTGGTTGTAGGTCTATCTTTCTGGAGTCTCTTTTAATGTGCCAATCACTTGTAATCATCATATATATGTAAATTAAACAAAACATGTGATCAACTTGAGGATGCCTAAGAATTAAAGAATCATGGAATATTAAGTAGCCATGTACATTATAAACGACGATGAATGTTTGAGCTTAATTAGAACAAGAAATAAATTGAAATCAGGATATTGAAAAATAAAGCCATTCACCAAACTTTAAGAAGCATTGCCATTCTACATACTCCCCTTGCCCCAACACACATACACACACACACACACACACACACACACACACAAAATGGGGATTCATTCTCATCTAGAAATTCTCTTATATCTTGCCACATGGAAAGGTCTACAAGGACAGGTTAGTATTTCTCATTTATCACTATATCCTTAGTACCTGGCACATAGGAGATGCTTATTAACAATTGTACCATTATTGTAGCAAATATGCACAGGCTGTTCTGTTGGCCATTTCAGATGGAGCTGTTTCAACAGTCAGAAATTTATGTTTAGTTCAACCAGATAAGAAAATGGAAGCCAAGGCTTGTGTCTCCAGTCCCCCTAGAAATTCACTGTCTACTGCTGCTGTCAAGGAGACTGCATGGGATTGCCCTTTGAAGAACCATAAAGAACCAGAACAGAAGATATATAAGAAGCCTAATCTGGTTGTAAAGCCTTTACAGCTGGTGAGTGAGGTTTAAAGAACCTGCACAATGTAGATTCAGCATTATGAAAAGTAACCAAATGAAACCAGAATTACTTTTAGAAAAATCTTGTCTCTATATACCTCATTTATTGAAAAAATTAGTTCTTTCATCCAAAGTCACCTTATATAGTATCTTTTCAGTAATTTATGTAACCAGTTTTCCGATGGTTTTGAGATTGGATAGTCCTTATATGATGATGGTACTGTCTCAGTCTCCCTGTGTTTGGAAATGTGGGCTGAAAAATCCTCAGGGGCTTCCGAGGGGACCACAGAGGAGCTATTGACTGAATGCCTCAACAGCTGCTGCAAATCTCCTTTGCACTCAACCTCAGTTATTGGGTCCTCACCATTCTGTCATCATTACATCTTTTTTTTTGAGAGAGAGAGGGGGAGAGAGAGAGAATTTCAGTATTTATTTTTTTTAGTTTTCGGCGGAAGGAACATCTTTGTTTGTATGTGGTGCTGAGAGGATCGAACTCGGGCGGAACGATGCCAGGCAAGCGCGCTACCGCTTGAGCCACATCCCCAGCCCCCTATCATTACATCTTAACACAAAATTCTTTTTGTGTTCTCTTCTCCTATTCCTTATGTTATTACTAAGGTATTAGTCATATGTTACTCTTCATTGTACCCTCAGTATCTGGCTCCTTTCATGGGATGACAAAAATTTGAGAGCCTGCTATATTGTTCTGGAGGACAATAAAAAGGCTTACAGGAATATATATTTTAGAAGACAAAAGGATATATTTTAGAAATGTTTGCACAATCCTATTTTTGATTGGAAGACTAGTCTGAAATTTAATCTAGACTTAGTTACCTTTCCCTATTGGTAGGGTTGAGTAGAATGAGAATTCACTTTAGTTCAGCCTGAATATTTGAAATATCATGTTGTCAAATTTTAATAAGGCATTTGCATAATACATCTTAACTCTTTTCCTAATATCAGAAGGTAATATATTCATATTTTAACATAAGAATCACCTGTGGAATTTTTTAATATGCATGGTTTCATTCTCATGTATTCTGAATCAGTAAATCTAGCCTGAGCCCATGAATATGAATTTTTATAATTTCCCAAGTGATTCTGAAAAAGGCAACTAATGAAGTATACTTTGAGAAATGTCAGGGTTTGAAATGTCACCCAAAGATTTATTATGGTTTCTTTGATTTCTTTCTTTTAACTTGTAGCAAGTAGGAATAAGTAAATCACAGCTCAGCTTGGCAATGGCAAATCATGATATCCCACCAGATGCTGTACAGGAGAAGAAATTATGCAGACTTCCACCATTAGATACCAGTACCCTTGTGGGGGTCTTTGTGGAGTATATTATCTCTCCAAGTCAATTCTACATCCGAATCTATAGCAGGGATTCATCAGAGTTACTTGAAGACATGATGATTGAAATGCGGTAGGAGTCCTTGTTTTCAATGTGTTTTTTCATGTATCGCTCTAATTAGGAGTTATCATTTTTGGTCTCAGGACTCTTAAAATGAAAGAACCAAAGAGAGCTTTTGTTTATTGATATTTCCTATATAGAAATTAAATTGCAGAGTTAAAAAATGCTTCTTTTAAAAATTCATGGGTGATAATATAACATTTTTATAAAAATAACTTTTTAGAAAATGTTGGAAGAGTACCATTGTTTTACATTTTTACAGATCACTTTAATATTTGGCTTAATAGGGAAAAAAGCTGGATTTTAATATCTGCTTCTACATGTAATCTATTGAGATACAATAGCCCCAGATAACCTTATACAGGCAAAATGTTCCAAGATACTCAGTGGATACCTGAAACAGGATAATACCAAACCCTGTGTATATACTGTTTGTTTTCTTATATACACATAACTATAATAAAGTTTAATTTATAAATTAGGAATAGTAAGAGATTAACAACAATAAAAATAATAAAAACAATTATAACAAAATTCTGTAACAAAAGTTGATTGAACAACTGATGTAGCTATTAAGTAACTAATGGGAGGTAGTGTATACAGTAGGCATATGCTGCACAAAGCCATGATTCACAATCTGGCCAGATGGAGTAGGATGGTGTAAGATTTCATCATACTACTCAGAAAAGCATGCATTTTTAAACTTGTGATTTGCTTATTTCTGGAATTTTCCATTTAATAATTTTGTACTACAGTTTTCCATGGGTAACTAAGCGAAAACCACTGAAAATGGTAAATGTATAAAATGTGTGGTTTTGGTTAAAGTGTATGGAAACATCTGGCCTCACAAATATATAGTTTGGGAAAGGAGTATTTTAATAGCCTTTTCAGAAAATTGTGAATTATCATAATTCGTTAATGGTTTTTTCAAGCAAAAAAAGGTGGTTCTTTCCATGAAAAACAGTGACTAATTCATCTTTCAAGTGAAAAAAAAAATCATACTTCCCTCCCAATAAAAGATTAGGTCACAATTCAGAACACACAAGCTTTTCCTTGACATAACTGGGGAAATGCCTTATGTATACTTAGTTTCATTTTTGTCACTTAGTATTGAAAAGATGTCACTTAGTGACTGCTGTTTAATAAGCTTAATCTTTATCAGAGACGATATTAAATGTCATTGGCTGTTTTTTGTAATTAATGTGAACATATGGCAGTGACAATTAAGAGGCTATAAGTTTGCCACTGCCTCGATTTAGCTAAGGTGCCTGGCTTATGTACCCATTGTTGCTTTTACATGGTCAATGCAAATTTCAACATAAGTAAAGGGCAGATAAGGGTTCAGTAATATTATGAAAATAGTTTTGATCTTGTGTACCTCCTGGAAAGGCATTAGGGTATATACTTTGAGACCTACTGCGTTAAAAAATGTCCATTTTAGGAAGAGATGGGAAATGAGATCGCATTGTATTGTGTTCTGAGAATGTGAGATAAGAAAATGAATGTATAATTTTCATACTCTATCTTTGAATAAGTTTGTTAATAAAGAGAATGACTTTGGACAAGAAAAAAGAATAAAATTCTTTGGCCTTAGTAAGCATTAACAAATCAGGAAAAAAAAATCAGGATTTTTTTCTTTGCCTTTTGCCCAGGCTTTTCTATTCTTGACCTATCAATAAAAACAATCTTTAATTTTTCTTCCCCTATGGTTTCTCTGTATATGGAATTCCACAGGCGTTGTTATTCTAACCAGCTGGTTTCTGATCGATATATCATGCCAGAATGTTTTGTCCAGCCGGGACACCTGTGTTGTGTAAGGATTTCTGAGGATAAGTGGTGGTATCGGGTTATTATCCATCGAGTCCTTGGGAAAAAGGAAGTTGAAGTATTCTACCCAGACTTTGGAAATATCGGAACTGTTCAGAAGTCCTCTCTGAGGTTCCTCAAGTGAGTTGAATTTAATAAGAACAATGGACAAATTAAATTTTGAATCCCAGTGCTGAAACTTGGTGAGGCTGTGATCTCTCTTATTTTTCTTTTAGCTTTATCGCTCCATCCTTCCACCCTTTCCATGCCTCTTTCTTCTTAGTGTTATTTAATTTCACTGGTGGATTATAATCTCATGTCTTCTTTGACTTGACTATGAATTTGAATGGACCATTTGACTAAATTTTAGCCTCTTATTAAGAAAGTGACTCCTTGGGAATGGCAAGTTGAAGACCAGCCTGGGCAACTTAGCAAGACTCTGTCTCAAAAAAATAGGAAGGACTGGGAATGTAGAGTGCCCCTGGGTTCAACCATCAGTTTCCAAAAAACTAAAAACCAAAACTAAAAGAAAACTACTCTTTGGGTCATACTAAGAGGTGCGTTCATATATTCAGGAAGCTTGAACCTGAATTTCTACTGTATGGTTCTCTCAAAGATGTATTTTATACTTTTTCTTAGGTTTCTTTAAAGTACAAGGCATTTATTATTAAATTGATGAATAAAATACTCTGGAATGTTGTGCATAACAAATCAAGGAGCAGAGATTTTATAAAAATGCACTTTAAACATATGATTAAATGTTCATATATTGATTTTTGCTGCAGGTGCTGCTACACAAAGCTTCCTGCTCAGGCTATCCCTTGCTCTTTGGCTTGGGTGAGACCCGTAGAGGTATGTACTCTGGTTTTCCAGTAATTAGAAAACATTTTTTTTTCCCCAAGACTGTTTCTGAGTTCTCAGGATACAAAAACAAAACATGAAACCAGGCCCCTCTGCTCCCAAAAAATCAGGTATGTTGTATGGAATGGAAATATGTGGACAGACATTGTTGTACCCTGCTGTATTTGCTATAATAGAGATTCTTACAGCATGACAAAGGAGCAAAAGGAAGCAGCCCCATCTCTCCAGGGTAATCAGGAAGCTTCATAGTAAAGGTGGCATCTGAGTGGAACTTTAAAAGAAGATTAGGGAGAGTAGTGTGAACATTTCAAATTTAAGAAATTAGTTCTATTGGCACAGAATGTAGAATGAGCTGGAAGGTACATGACAAATGATGTCAGAAATAGGCACAGACTTCACATGGAGAGCTGTGTTCAGAGGTCAAAAAGCTGCTGTCCCTTAGATGCTGGGGAACTACCATAGTCAGGTGTCATTTTTAAGAGAATTCTCCCATACATTGTGAAAGATGATTGGAGGGCCTGCAGAAAGCATTTACATTCACATAGGCAGGTATGGTGTGTGCAGTTATAATTATCTCTGGCCTTTACCTTTTCTCCCCTGAACCTACACGTACCTATGTGTGTTCCTCACGCCATAGTTGTCTGTTTAACCTAAATAATTTATCAGTTGCTTACATATAAATGACTATTTAAAAATATCTTTTAGTTGAAAAATACAGCAAAGAGAACCAAAAAAAAAATCATATAATTCAGGGCTGGGGTTGTGGCTCAGCAGTAGAGCACTCGCCTAGCATGTGCGAGGCCCTGGATTCGATCCTCAGCCCCACATAACAATAAATAAATAAAGGTATTGACAACTGCAACTAAAAAATTTAAATATTAAAAAAAATCATAATTCAACCACTGAGACACACTCACTTAGAAATTGTTGTATTTCCTCCTGTTTATTTTATTGGATGTAGAAAGTCCAGGTTTTTGAAAGGTTTTTAGTGTTACCTAAGATAATCATAATATGTTGTATATTATGCTTTTTTGCTTAGCATTTAACATAAATATACATTTAGTTCTCAATTCTAATGGATTCATAGTAATCTATTAGCCAAATATGCATTGTGGCCTGTTTAACCATTCCTTTATTGTTGGACATTTAATCTTCTACATTTCCACTATTATAAATAATGTACACAAAGTGTTTTTGTTTTATTTATTTGCAGTACTGGATTGAACGCAGGCCCTTGTGCATTCTAGGCAAGCACTAAACCACTAATCTCCACCGCCAGCACCCCTAACTCTGCTTTTTTGTTAGATAGTCTCACAAAGTTGCCCAGACCAACCTCCCAAGTAACTGGGATTATAGACGTGCACCACTACACTCAGATTTCACAAAAACCATACGTTGTACTATCATCAGGATTGGGTTTTAGTCTGTAGTCTTGAATGGGTCTCTTTTTACTACTTTGGCCATCAGGAAGCTGGATGCTAAATTTGCAACCCATTTATAACCAATGTCTTTTACATCAGCCAAATAGCTTCTCTGTTTTGTTTTCTTTTTTCCCTCTTCATTGCCTTCTTATTTGCCTCCTATACCTCTCCTCCTCAGGGCTTTTGCTCATTCCAATCACAGGAATAGCTTATTCCAAGAAGTTTCATGGTTGCCCTTCCTGTTATTTCCTCAAAAGGGTTTTCTTTTCCTCACAGCCAGTTTAAAGTATGCCCTTCCCCTTGAGTCATTCATCATCACCATGTTTTGTCTTTATTATAGTTGTCACTGTCTGCTGTTTTCTTGTGTGTCCATCTGAACCCAACAGTATAAGTGTCCTGTTCACCATTGAATCTTCAGTGCCTATAGCAATGTTTGGTTAATGTTAAGAGCTCAGTAATCATGTTTTTAACTAAATGAATCTATCTCACTTTATTTCTATGTCTATTTTCTAATTTTGAAAATGATTAATTCTCTTGGTAATGGAAGAAGAGCAACAAAGGAATGTGATGAGACTATGTTCCCACAGACAAAATCAAAAGTAGGCAGGAAAGCAGAAGTCTCCTTGGAAATCAAACTGTAGCGGGTAAGGTTGGGACCTTTCCAGCTGCCTTCTCGAGGGCAGTCCTCACTCTTCAGCCTTGCTGGCTTGAAGAAATAGAGGAGATTGTTTGAGAGTGACAGAACAGCTAGAAGTTAGGGGGCAAATACTTAACACAGAGAATGGGTATACAGTTGTATTCACAGCGTATATAATCTTCCCAAATCCTTAGATGATTGCTGAACTTTGCAAGCACTAGGAACAACCTAGTTGCCCTAGAGGAAAATTAACAGCTGGCATTTGAAGGAACTGAACAGAGATTTCAGTTGCTACAGACTGCAAGAGCAAGGGGTGTACAAAATTTAGAGTTTAAGTCCAACTTGTCACTTAACAATGGAGACACATTTTGAGAAATGGATTGTTAGGTGATTTCATTATTTTATGAACATCATAGCATGTACTTACACAAACCTAGATAGTATAACCTACTACCCTACCTGGGCAGTGTGGGTTTTTTTTTTTTTTTTTTTTTTTTTGGTACTGGGGATTGAACTTGGGGGCACCGACCACTGATCAACATCCCCAGCCCTATTTTGTGTTTTGTTTAGAGACATGGTCTCACTGAGTTTTGCTTAGTGCCTTGCTATTTTTTTTCCCCCCTGAGGCAGGCTTTGAACTCGAAATCCTCCTGCCTTAGCCTCCCAAGACTCTGAGATTACAGGTGTGCACCACCTGCCTGGTGATTGTATTTTTAAACACATTTAAATGTTTATTCCTTAAACATTTTTTTTTATTTTAAGATTAAAATATAGCCATTATGGTTTGGATTTGAGGTGTTCTCCCAAATCTCCCGTTAATGCAAGAACATTCAGAGGTGAAATGATCAGATTGTGAGAGCAATAATTCATCAGTCCATCCTAGTTTGATTGGACTGACTGGGTGGTAACTGTGGGCAAGTTGGTTGTGGCTAGAGGAGGTGGGTGACTTCATCTTCTCTATGCTGGTGCTTCCTGACCCTGAGCTGAGCAGCTTTCCTTCACTTGCCCCCTCCTGCATAATGTCCTGCCTCACCTTAGGCCCAGAGTTGTGGAGCTGGCTATCTAACTGAGAGCTCCAGATAAATTTTTCCTCCTGTAAATTTTTTTTAAGTTTCTTTCTTCCTTTCTTCCTTTCCTTTTCCTTGTCCTTGTCCAAGAAGACCACGTGCTAGGCAAGTGGTCTACCACCAAGCCACAACACCAGCCCCTGTAAATTGTTCTTGTTGGGTATTTTGTCACAACAACCCAAAAGGTAACCAAAACAATAACCCATTTTGACTTATTTTTATCTTTTATTTTTTTAAAAACTAGGACACAAACAAGGCCTAGGCCTATGAAGGATCAGGATCAAAATATCACTGTCTTCCAACTTTGCATCTTGTCCCACTGGAAGGTCCGAAGGGGCAATAACACAGAGCCGTTGTCTATGACAGCAGTTCCTTCTTCTGGCATTCTCCCTGAAGGACCTGCCTAAGGCTGTTTTACAGTTAAAATTTTTTTTTCAGGTAGGGATATACTTTAATGAACCAGTAACGTAGTTGTTTATCATTATCATCAAGTATTATTTACTGGCTGAACAGTAGGTCTGCTTCCACCAGAAGCACCACAAACCTGGGCAGGATGTGACAATGTTATGACAGCTACCACATCACTATGCAATTTGAATTTTTCAGTTCCTTTGTAATCTTATGGGAATATTGTCACATACATGAACTTTTATTAACCAAAATATTGTTAAGTGGTGCATAACACTGGGAGGACTCAGGGCATAGGTCAGTGGTCAAGCACTTGTGTGACCCTGAATTTCCATCCCCAGCTCAGCAAAACAACAACAACAAACTAGGATATTTTGTCACCAGTATTCTTTTTTAAAAATATTTATTTTTTAGAAGTCGTTGGACATGGGGCTGGGGATGTGGCTCAAGCAGTAATGCACTCACCTGGCATGTGCGGGGTGTTGAGTTCGATCCTTAGCATCACATAAAAATAAAATGAAGATGTTGTGTCCACCGAAAACTGAAAAATAAATATTTAAAACTTCTCTCTTCTCTCTCTCTCTTTTAAAAAAAAAAGTAGTTGGACACATACCTTTATTCATTTATTTATTTATTTTTATGTGGTGCTGAGGATCAAACCCAGAGCCTCGCATGTGCTAGACGAGCTCTCTACCGCTGAGCCAATCCCAGCCCACCAGTATTCTTGAACTGCAAGAAATACTAAAGGAAGTCCTTCTGGCTCTTAATAGAAATGAAAGCAAATAGTAACTGAGATCTATAGGAAGGAATAAAGATTATGGAAAATAGTTAATATGTGGTGAAATATAAAGCTGTTTTATTCTCTGAATTTCTTTGGAAAACATAGAACTTTTAAAAGTAAAATCATTGCATTTCATTTTGGAGTAGAATGTGTTAATATATATTTATTCTAAAAGTCTTCATGCAGTTTAAGCTTTATTATTTTTAGAAACATAAATGTCACAAACTTTAAAAATATCATTTGAAACTTTAATTTTTAACATATACTTGTTTGTATGTTATTTTGTGAAATTTTAACTAGTAGATTTGCAGTGTTAATATTTTGTTTCATTCAACTTTTGCCCACTCTAAGGGACTGGCACAAAAAAAATTAAAATGCAGTATTTGTAGTAGAGTTGTTTTTTTTCTGTTCCTCCTCAATATGATTTTGGTGTCAGATTTTTAGGGAATGTGTTCTTTTTACTTAGTTTCATTTTATTGGCATAATTATTCATAATATCTTCCTGTCCTTTTTCGGGGGGCGGGAGTTGCTGGGGATTTAATTCCAGGCTTTCTGCATGTTAAGCAGGTGCACTACCACTAAGCCATGTCCCCAGCTCTCCTTTTTCTAACTTTTTGAGACAGAGTCTTGCTAAGTTGCCTAGGCTGGCCTTAAACTTGTGATGCTCTGGCCTCAGCCACCTGAGTAGCTGAGACTTACAGGCATGCACCATCTATGGTCCTTTTGTGGCTTAGTCCATGCAGAGATGAAGGTCAGGAGCAGTGCAGGGGTGTACTCCTAGGTTTATATCTGGGACAGCAGGCATGCATGTGTGGCCTGCCTTCTTTTCTTTTTGATGCCAGCAACTGTAATAGTATGTCCATTTACATTCCAGTTATTGTTCATTAGTATATTCTCTTCTTTTTTTGTGATCTAAAGAGAAAGGTATTTGCCATTTTGGTTAGTTTTTTCAATGAGCCAGTTAACCTGGGAGTGTGTCATAGTGGTAGTTGATTCTGGCAGGAGACATCAGTGGAGACCAAAGTTTGATAAAGAACAAATTGCCAATCTATTTGAAAGTGGGAAATGGTGACTTTATTTTTTTAAATTTATTTTTTAATTAATGACTTAATTTTTTATTTTTTAATTAGTTATACACAAGAATTCATTTTGATACATATAATGGAATATAATTTTTCCTGGTTGTACATGATGTAGAATCATACCAGTCTATAGTTATATATTTACGTAGGGTGATAATGTCTGATATATTCTACTACCCTTCCTACCCCGACACCCTCTCCCCTCCACAGCGATTTTATTTTTTTGTTACTAGGAATTGAACCCAGGGGCACTTTACCATCAGGCTACATCCCCAGCCCTTTTTTATTCTGAGTCAGTCTTACTAAGTTGCTTAGAACCTTACTAAGTTGCTGAGGCTGGCCTCAAACTTGCAATCCTCCTGCCTCAGCTTCCTTAGCCATTTGGGATTACAGGCATAGGCCACTGTGCCTGGCTGTTTGTGTGAATTTATGCTCACTTATCCTATATTGTTTTTGTAAAAATATTTTTTTAGTTGTCAATGGACCTTTATTTTTTATTTATTGATATGCAGGTGCTGAGAATCGAACTCAGTGCCTCACACTGGGTGTGAGCTCTGCCACTGAGCCACAACCCCAGCCCCTATATTGTTTTTTTACTGGACTTTAAAAAAAAAAAATCTTTGTTATTTTTCACTAAATATTGCAAATTTCCAGTCATTGTCTCTTCAATTATGATCATATTTTTATACCTCTGTTTCTGCCTCTTTTTCTGAGGCCATAACTTTTTAAAAATATTTTTATATGTATGGACCTTTATTTTATTCATTTATTTATATGTGGTGCAGAGGATCGATCCCAGTGCCTCACACATGCTAGGCAAGCCTGAGCCACAGCCTCAGCCCACTGAGGCCATAATTAAAAGTGTCAAACTTCCTCAGTTTTTCTTCCACTTCTTAATGGCCTTCTGTATTTTATGCCCATCTTTCTTCCCACACTGGGTAAATTTTTTTTCCATAAATTATCTTCAACTTTGCTAATTTACTCTTAATCGTATGTAATCTGCCACTGAATTAACCTGTGAAGATTTTAGAATTTGTTATTATATTTTTACTTTCTAAAGCTTGTTATGCTATATTTGTCTTTATAGATTGCTGATCTCTGCAGAATCTTTCAGACTAAGCAGGGTTGTTGTTTTTTTTGGAAGGGGGACTTTGCTTTAAGCATAGTAAGCTTAGTTTTATAATTTGTCTAGAAATTGTCCAAGATTTTAAGGGTTTGTTGCAGTTATATGGTTTCTACTTGTTCTTCTGATTCATTGTTTTTATGCATTTTATCTTTGCCTGTGTGCTGCTCATTGTCTTTGAAAAATTTTAAGAATAGTTAAATGATGTAAGCTGAGTGCACCTATCTCTGGATAGGGTTTATGTTTGCTTCTGCCTGCTCCTTAGGAGTTCCAGCACTTCAGAACTATGTTAATTTAAATTAACAACTTGAGGATTTATGGACCACTCTAGTGATGTGAAAATTGAGGTGCAAACCCATGTGAAGACTGGTTTCTTTCTCTCCCTGCTTACCCAAGACCATATCTTGCAGGACTCAGTGAAGGAAAACTTTTCTAGAGACAACCTACTGTAGTGGACCCCAGTTTTGCTATATGTCCCCTTTGCAGTGTTCAAATTTGCCTGGATTAGGAGGTACCCTTAAGACAAAAGTTGTTCCCACTTTCTCTTCAGTTTTTTTTAATATATTTTTTTAGTTGTAGATGGACACAGATACCTTTATATATTTATTTTTATGTGGTATTGAGGATCGAAGCCAGTGCCTCACATGTGCTAGGTGAGCACTCTACCACTGAGCCACAACCCTAGCCCTTCCCTTCAGTTTTGGCCTGATAATTTGTTACTAGCTTGCTAGTACTTTGATGTTCTGGGCATGTTAAAAATGATATTTTACCTAGACTTTTTAGGTTTTTTTTTCCCTATGGGAGGGTTGGTCTAATAATATATTTCTGAAATTGGTGGGTTCCTCACCAAATAATTACTTTTTCACCATTTTTTATTTTGACTTTTCTCATCCTCAAATCATAAATATCTTATGTATCATTCTCGTTCTTTTATGCTTTGATTTTTCCACTTAAAACTACTGTACTGTACATTATCATAAATGGTACTATAATTCATGTTGAACTCTATCACCTAAATCTAGTGTCTTTATTGTATTACAGGAACACTGGACATCCAGAGCTATTTTGCAGTTCCAGAAGTTGTGTGGTCTGAAACCGTTAGTAGGAGTAGTGGATGAATATATCGATGGAATCCTTAACATTTTTCTGTGTGATACATCCTCACATGAAGATGTCTATTTCCATCATGTCTTAAGAGCAGAGGGCCATGCTATTGTATGCCGAGAAAATGTCCCTTCCAAGGTAGAGCAGTGTGGATGCATTTTGCAACATATATTGCTTGCTCTCAACACTTAAATTTAATACAGAAGGTTGTTTGATTTATTCTTTAATTTTAGAGACATTCATTACATTGCTGACTTCTTAATGCAGAACACTCTTAATTTTTAGATGACCATAAAAACCACATTTGGCTAATTATCCTTTAGAATATGAATACTTTTGCCAGGGTAGGTGGCACACGTGCCAGTGGCTGGGGAGGAGGCAGAAGAATCTCAAGTTCAAAGCCAGCCCCAGCAACTTAGCAAGACCCTGTCTCAAAATAAAAAATAACAAGGACTGGGGATGTGGCTAAGTGGTTAGGTGCCCCTGGGCTCAATGCCCAGTACAAAAAAAAAAAAAAAGATTGACTATTCTCCCTTACTCCAAAGTATTTCAAAGTGTGTAGTTATCTTAGGTCATCCTAGAGAAAAGCAACACTTTTATTTTACATTATTGATAGTGATTTGTTGATAGTGATAGCTGTATCCCTGCTAATATTGATTCTAATTTTTGTAACTATGTAAAACTGTCAATATGGAGCAAGCTTTTAATGAAGAAGATAATGTACCTCCACAGCACTTGAGAATTATGAAGTACTAACTTTTGTCCTTTCTTTTTTAATTGGATAGTTAAACCCTTCCTCATTTAAAGTAAATTATCTATTTATTTTTATCCAGGGCTTCAGAGACCTAAATCCTTTAGCTTTATACACTCAACCCAGTGGAGGGCCAGATAAAGTTGTCTTGACAGAACTGGGTTATTCTTCTCATCAGCACTATTTTAATGAAGACCGAGAGATAAGTCCTCGATCCAAAGAGAGCGATTTCCATGCCCTGGTAAGTTATATTATAATAACAGTTAAATTATATTATTAATTATTATAATATTTACAAATATTATAATAATTCCTTTAATTAACTCTAGTTATCCTCGTTTTACAGATGAGGGAACTGAGGTTTTCCAAACTTAGATGCACAGTGATCTTACAACTAACCTGTTTCTCATTGTTAGGCAGCTTAAACCTTTGCAGTATTTGTGCTTCCTCTGGTGATTTCTCCTGTTTACTAATTTCCTCTGTGTAGTTGTGCCTTCCCTTCTCTAACTCAAATGCTGTCCTTCATACTCACTGCTCAGGTTCTTCTTCACAGATTCTGATTTTTTTTCTCTTTAAATGTTTGCCAACCCTCTCTCCATCCACAGTTACAACAGTATTATTATAACATCCTTTTATTATGCATTATTCTAGCCACAGAGCAACAATAATTATTGAACTTGTACTACCTCACAGGCACTGTTCTGAGTGCTCACATGTATAGAGAATTTAACCTGCATAATAACATTCCCATTCTAAATAAAAGGAAAGTGAAGCTCATGCTAAGAACTTAATATTTCTTGAACAGATAAACAGGTCCTCTTGAGTCTGATAGTCCAGTACCTGTTGACATGAGGAATAAGAGTATAGGAAGTGTTTAATCTGAAGGCTGGAAATATTTTGTTGTTGATATAAGGCTTTTTATTTTTGTTGAATAAAATAAAATGTAAAATATTCTTTTTTGAGTTTTAAAAAATGTAGATTTTATTAGAGCTAAAATGTAAACTATTCTTTTGTTGTATATTATTGTATATCTGACTTTTAAAGTTATAGAGATGATTTTTTAGTAGATATTTACAAATTATTAGAAAAGATTAAAAAAAGCCATTTTGACTACTGGGAGATACTCTGTTACAAAAATAAAGTGTATTAATGTTGTATGTTCAAAACTAAGAAATTTTAGATCTCTAGTTAAATATTAAAATTAACTGGGCTGGTGGCTGGGGTTATGGCTTAGTGGTAGAATGCTTGCCTAGCATGCAAAGTATCCCTGGCACCACATAAAAATAAAAACAAATAAAATAGAAGTATTATGTCCATCCACAACTAAAAAAAATTTTTTTTCATTAATTTGAGTTGGTTTGGTTCATAACAAACCTGAATTCTTCTCATTCTAAATGGGTTCAGAAGAGTTACATTTCCTCATTTTATAATGAATTGAACTCAACCTTTAATATTTTTAGAATATTTTATCAGCTGTTGATGTCTTCAGATAATCATTGTTCAGTTCTAGAAATATAGGAAGACTCTCTTTTCTGTACAAAAGGACAAAACTCTCCCAGCCCACCCCACCCCAGGTCATATTTTGATATAGCAAGACTGCCATATGCTACAGACACACGTGCCTCCCCCCGTTCTTTCCTGCTCATCTTTTAAGCATCCTAACAGTTTGTTATCTCCTTTATTGCATCTTCCCAGACATCCTCCCTCAGTAATATTTTCAGTACCTCTCTGTGATGGCGCTACTTGAGAGATTGCACTGTCATGACCTGGTTGTGTGTTTTCCTACTGTATTTTTTACTTTAAAGCTGGGACCTGTGGTATCCTTCAGAAAGGTATCCATAGACGTTTGGTCAAATATGCTCAAAAATGGTTTTTGCCTAAAAATCGTTTTTCAGAATGGGAGGGTCTAGGGTCAGGGATAAAGTTAGAAAATAAAGTAGCATTTGAATGAACCATAGCAAAAAATACCACCAAAATTTTATAGGCATATAGATTTTGTAAACAACATTAACATAGAAAACAAAGTAATTTCTTTCATATCTACTAAAAAGATATTAATGATGAAAAGTATTTAAGTCATCTTAAATCTATGTCAAAGGAGCCATTAAAGGATTCTGAATTCAGTTCTCTGAAAACTCAAAAGAGCTGTGAAGAAGATCTAAAGTGGTCCATTCCAGAGCCAAAGGATCTGAAGGAAGAAAATGAGGTAGGAGAAGGAAAGGTAGTTTTTAAAAAATATGTAATTAATATAATTAATTCACAAATGAAGAGACTGAACTAAATTAGCTGTTTAAGCTCTGCTTTTATTGTCATAGATCATCTCTCACAGATGAATTATAAATTCTCTCTTTAGCAGTCTCCAAGATCAGTGTTTTAGGGACATAACCTTGATCATGGAAAAGAAAAGGCACCACCTGGCTTTGATGTGCTAGTTACTCTCCTGTGTGTTTATGCCATATTCAAGAATTGTGCAGTACCTAAACACTGGGATTGAGAACAATGCTAGGGAAAAGGGTTTATAACTTTTTTGAAGGGCATGTTTTATCTTTATTTTAGTCAAATGTTTATGTACACATAGCCTAGAGTCCCTCATGACCATTTCTCCTCTGTGGCCTATATCCTAAAACAACCATTTTCATCTATTTTAGCTACTTATTTTGGAGTTTTACCTCTATTCCTTTAATACATACATATAATTTTCTGCTTTCTCAGTTTTATGTATCTGTGTTCTACCCAGTAGAAGGATGAGGGCTTAGTTCTCTTTCATCATCCCTTCACCCTACCACACATAAACATAACCGTTGTGTCCCCTCTCCACCATCCATCATACTAACTGAGTAGTATCAAACTTTCCATTAGGTCACCACTCACATTTGCATTCTTATGGCTGTAAATGCTGTTCATGGCTCAGGCACATTGTATGCTATGACACCTTTTCCTTTCCTGCATAACTTTACTTTGTCTTATCATCTTTCTTTTAAACTAATATATGGCAAAATTGACTTTCTTTTGGTATAATTTTCTGTCAGTTTTAATATACAAGTAGTTTCATGTAACCAACATCACAATCAGCATGCAGAATGACTCCATCAATCTGAAGTAACTCCCTTGTGCTACCCTTTTTTAATCAATCTCCTCCATATTCCTGACCCCAAGCAACTACTGATATGTTTTGTCTCTCTAGTGACAGCAGAATGCATTACAAATCATATTACACACATAGAGCATAATTTTTCATACCTCTGTATACAAAGTATATTCACACCAATTTGTGTCTTCATACATGTACTTTGGATAATGATGACTATCACATTCCACCATCATTTCTAACCCCATGCACCCTCCCTTCCCCTCCCATCCCTAGAGTTTGTCTGTTCTTCCCATGCTCCCCCTCCATACCCCACTATGAATCAGCCTCCTTATATCAGAGAAAATATTTGGCATTTGGTTTTTGGGGATTGGCTAGCTTCACTTAGCATTATGTCCTCCAGCTCCATCCATTTACCTGCAAATACCATGATTTCATTCTCTTATATTGCTGAGTAATATTCCGTTGTGTATAAATGCCACATTTTTTTATCCATCTTCTGAAGGGCATCTAGGTTGGTTCCACAATTTAGCTATTGTAGAAAATGATATAAAATCAATCAAAAAATGTATGAAAAATGTTCATCTCTAGCAATTAGAGAAATGCAAATCAAAACTACTCTAAGATTTCATCTCACTCTAGTTAGAATGGCAGCTATTATGAATACAAACAATAAGTGTTGGCGAGGATGTGGGGAAAAAGGTACATCATACACTGCTGGTGGGACTGCAACTTAGTGCAGCCAATATGGAAAACAGTATGGAGATTCCTTGTAAAATTGGTAATGGAACCACCATTTGACCCAGTCGGTCTATACCCAGAGGACTTAAAAACAGCATACTACAGGGACACAGCCACATCAGTGTTTATAGTTTTACCTTTTTAGAACCATCATATAAGTGGAATCACACAGTGTTGTAATCTTTAGGACTGGTATCATTCATTCTTCTAAAGTGTTGCATTTAGCAATTTCAAATCAAAGCTTTTGACTACTTAGTTTGGATTTATTGTAAGGATGTATCATGCTTGTATAGCTTTTCATCCACTGAAGAACATTTGGGTTGTTTCCAGTTTTGGATAATTATGCATAGAACTGCTACAAGTATTTGTGTACAGATTTTTGTGTGAACACAAGCTTCCTTTAAATAAGGAAAATGCCTGGGAGTAAAATTGCTGGGTCACATGATTATCAAATTGTTCCCTAGAAAGGTTGTATAATTTTGCATTCCCACTAGCAATCTGTTCTAGTTGCTCCACACCCTTGCTAGCACTGTGTATTACCAGTAATTTTAATTTTAGCATTCTGATAGGTGTGTAGTACTAGTACAACATGGTATATTTTGCATTTCCTAATAACTAATATTGTTTAACATATTTTCTGTACTTAATTGCCATACATACGTAATTTTTGTAGAAATGTCTGTTCAGGTCTTTTGCCCATACTTTTATTGGGTCATTGGTTTTTTTTTAATGTTTTTGAGAATTTTTAATATATTCTGGATGCTACTCCTATGTCAGATATGTGATTTCAAATATATTCTTCCACTTGTAGCTCATATTTTCATCCTTTTAATAATGTCTTTCATGTAGCAAAAGTTTTTAATTTTGAGAAGGTTAAGATATCAAATTTTTTTCTGTGTACAGTGCTTCCAATATTGAGAAATCTAAATTAATTTGGGGGGGGGCGTATGGTGTTAAGACAGGATTTATTTTGTTGTATATGTGGATGTTCAGTTGTTCAAATATCATTTGTTGAGAAGACTATCCTATCTAAATTGAATTTCCTATAAAGCATTACCAAAATTCAGTTGTCCATATTTGTAGGGTTTTTTTTTTTGTGTGTGTGTGTGTGTGCGTGTATGCGTGTGAGTTGTGTATGGTGCTGGGGATTGAACCCAGGGCCTTTCACATGGTAGGCCAGTGCTCTATCACTGGTCTACTTCCCCAGCCTAGTCATCCATACTTATATGAGTTTATTTCTAGACTGGATTCTGTTCCATTGTTCTGTTATATCCATCCCTTTATTGTACCAGACTTTGAATACTGGCTTTAGAGTAGTCAGGTAGTATAACTTCTCCTATTTTATCATTTTTCAAAATTGTTTTTTAATACTCTAGTTCTTTTTTCCTTCCTTATAAATTTTAGAATCAGTATATCTATATTTGGGACTTTGGTTGGAATTGTGTTAATTTGTGGATAAATTTGAGGAAAGTTGATATCTTTATTCTCTGAAGACAGAAGCTACCTGCCTATTAATTTAGGTTTTTCATTTATATCTTTATCATGTAGCTATAATTTTCAGTATTCAGAAACTACATGTGTTTTGTTAGCTTTATACCTAAATATTTCATTTATTTGGAGCTATTTAAGATAGTTTCATTGCTAGCATATATAATTTTTTTTAAAATTTTGAACTTATATCTTGTGAACTAGCTGAACTCACTTATTAGTTCTAGGAGTCCCTTTGGGATTTTCACATAGGTAGTGGTGTCTGCAAATTAGTAGTTTTATTTCCTTCTATCTGTATGGATTTAATCTATCTGCCTGCCTTGCTCTGGCTAGTATTTCAGATACTGTTGAACAGGAGTATGAGAGAGAATATCCTTGTACTCCTGAAAAGTTTTACCCATGCATGAATGTTGAATTTTTTTGGGGGGATTGGGGTACTGGGGATTGAACTCGGGAACACTCAAGCACTGAGCCACATCCCCAACCCTATTTTTGTATTTTATTTAGAGACAGGGTCTCACTGAGTTGCTAAGTGCCTCACTTTTGCTGAGGCTGACTTTGAATTCAAAATTTTACTGTCTCAGCCTCCCAAGCCGTGGGATTACAGGTGTGCGCCCCTACACCCAGTTGAATGTTAAATTTTGAATTGTTAAATATTGAATTATGTTTTGCATATATTAATAGTCTACTCCATTAGATATTGTATAATGAACCCTATTTGGCCATGGTGAATTATTCTTTTTATATATTGCTGGATGCGATTTGCTGGTACTTTATTGAAGATTTTTATGTCTGTCCGCATGAAAGCTATTGATCTGTATTTTCTGGAAAAGATATCAAATCGATTTCATTTCCTTGTTTTATGGAGTTTAAATATTATTTATGGTATACAAAGTAAAGTTTTAATATACAGTTTTTATGTATAGATTGTGGAATGGCTAAATGAAGCTATTTAATGTATTTCTTACATATTTTCTTTTTTTGTAGTGAGAACAATTTAAGTCTACTTTCTTAGCAATTTTCAAGTGTACAGTTTGTTGTTGTTAACTGCAGTCACCAAGATGAACAATAGATCTCTTGACTTCCTGTCTACTGAAATTTGTGTCCTTTGACCGGTATCTCCCCAATTCCCCTCTCAGCCTCTAGTAAATCATCATCTTACTATTCTGTGAATTCACTTTTTTTTTAATTCCACCCATAAGTGGGAGTATGTTTTCATCTGTGCTTGGCTTTTTTCAGTTAACATGATGTCCTTCAAGTTGTCCATTTTGTCACAATGATGGGATTTCCTCCTTTTTATAAGGCTGAATAGTATTCCATTGTGTATGTATACCACATTTTCTTTAGACCTTCGTCTGTTGATGGATGCTTAAATTGATTTTATATTTTGGTTGTTTGTGAGTAAAGATGCAGCAACATGGGAGTACGGATGTCTTTTTAAGATATTGGTTTCATTTCCTTTGGATTTATACCCATTAGTTAGGCTGCTGAATCAAATGGTAGTTTTGTTTTTAATTTTTTGGGGGAACCTCCACATTGTTTTACATAATGGCTATACTAATTTATGTTCTCATCAGCAGGATATAAGGGCTTCCTTTTTTCCACATCCTCACCAATACTTACTTTTTATCTTTTTAGTAAGTTATTCTAACTTGTACTGAGATAATTTCTTTGTAGTTTAAATTTGCATTTCTCTGATTATTGGTGAGCATTTTTCCATATACCTGTTGGACTTTCATATATCTTCTTTTGAGAAAGGGAGAAATCTGTTTTCTTGGCAGAAATTTTTTGTTTGATGTAATCTCCTTTGTCTGTTTTTGCTTTTATTGCCTTTATTTTTGGGGTCATACTTTAAAAAAAAAATGATTGCCAAGACCAGTGTCTTGGGGCTTTTCCCCTTTGTTTTCTTCTAGTACTTTTACATCTTACATTTAAGTCTTTAATTCACTTTGAATTGATATTTGTATGTGATGTGAAATAAGGGCTTAAGTTCATTCTTCTCTGTGTATAGAATCCAGTTTCCTCAATACCATCTATTGAGACACTGTTCTTTCCCCCATTGTGTGTCTGGGTATCTTTGTGGAAAATCAGTTGACTGTAATGCATGGATTTATTTCTGGAATTTCTACTCTACTTCGTTTGTCAATTTGTCTGCTTTTATGTTAGTACCATGCTCCATGTATTATCTGTTCTAGGATCTGTGCCTTTACATAATTCCAAAGTAAGTTTTTGCCTGCAAAAATACCTTGCTGGGTTTTCCATAGATATTTCATTACAATATTTGATTAATTTTGAAGAAAATTAACATCTTTATTATGTTGAATCTTTTAACATGAATGTTGTGTATCTCTCCATTTATTTAGGTCTTTGATTTCTTATCTCTGCACATTGTAATTGTCAGTATGTAGGTTCTGTATATGTTTTATTAATTGTATATATAATGTTTTTTGGTATGATTATAAATGGGGTATTTTTAATTTCAGTTTCTGCATGTTCGTTGCTGGTATGTAGAAATGAAATTGATTTTTTTGTGCTGATCTTGTATAGTGCAACCTTGATCACTTAGGAGGGTTGGGTTTTTTTGGTTTTTTTAGTAGATTATTTGGGGTTTTCTTAGTCATGTCATCTAGAGATATGGTTTTTTTTTCTTTTCTGGTCTGCATGGCTTTTATTTCTGTTCCTTGCCTTTTGCACTAGATAGAGCTTCTAGCACTATGTTGAATAAAAATGGTGAGAGACAGACTTTCCTGGCTTCTTATCTTGGAGGAAAAATACCAAAGATGTTAGTTAGCTCTAAGTTTTGTATAAATATTCTGTGCAAATTGAGGAAAGTCTCCTCTATTCTTATTTTTCTGAAATTTTTTGGCATTTTAATTTATATGTTATGTTTTTTAATTATATCTGTGTAGGGTTTCCCCCCAGTGGTATATCTAGGAATTACAGTATAAACCCTGACTTCTTTTTACAGTGGACTTAATGGGTAATTTATCACTGAACAGTATGTCAGTATCTTACCATCATATAAATCATCTTCTTGCTACCTTTTTACTATCCTTATCTTATGTATTAAATTTACATTGAAATTTCATAACGTTATATTTCTTGGTTTCCACATTCAAATATATTCTTAAAAAATTAAAGAGGAGAAGAGTCTATTTCATTTCTGCTGTTCTTCCTTTTTCAGTGCTCCAGCTTTCCTTCTGATATCATCTCCTTTGCATCCAAAGGATTGGAATTCTTTTTAGTATAGGTCTACTGATAATAAATCTCTTAGTTTTCTTCACTGACCATATATTTATATCTTCATTTTAAAGAACATTAAAAATATGAGAGGTATTTTTGCCAAATATAGAGATCTTGTTTGCTACTGCTTTTTTCCAGTACTTTAAGCTGCTTTTTTTAAAAAACATATTTTTATTGTTGTTGAAATTTTTATTTTATTTATTTATTTGTATGTGGTGCTGAGGATCAAACCCCGTGCCTCACACAGCTAGGCAAGCCCTTCACCACTGAGCCCCACTTTAAGCTTCTTATTGCAGTTCCTTTTGGCCTTCATAGTTTGATACAAAATTCACAGCAATGATATAGCTCTGTCTCTACATGTAATATTTAATTTTTCTCTGGCTCCATTCAAGATAATCTCTGCCTTTAGTTTTCAGAAGGTTGATTATAATCTGTCCAGGCATGAATTTTCTTGGGTTTATGGTGTTTGGGGTTTGCTAAACTGGTAGGTTTGTGTCTTTGGAAGTTTTTAGCCACTTTTCTTCAAATTATTTTTTGACATTGTTCTCTTCTTTTTGGAAATTTAATTACACAAATATTAAATATTTTGACATTGTCTTTTAGTTTCTGAGGCTTTAAAAAGAATCTTTTGGGTTTTTTTTTCCCCAATCTTTTTTTCCTCTGTTCAGATTTGGTAATGTTTATGGATCTGTCCTCAAGTTCACATGCCTTTTCCTTTTATCTCTATCCTGCTATATTGAAAAGAGGGCCAGCAATATTCAGTATAAAAACCTTCACCCAATTTCTCTTTCTTACTGTGCTTGTTTTGCTTTCAGTTTTACCCTCCAGAAGTCTTTCTTGGCCCTCTGGAAGACCAAGAGGTGTGGTTGCCTGAGTTCTTGAAACAGGGCAGGGCTCTGAATATCTCATAGCTGCTCACACTGACTTTTAACTGATGTTCTTGTTTTCATTGCCATTTTACTCCTCTTTTTAAAAACCTTATAGTGCATTTCCTGAACTTTTAAAGTATTCTATAAATTTGGGTTGCTTCTCAGTTTTTCTCACTATAACCTCCACAGTCTGCTTTACTGGGATTCCTTAATCAGTTGACAGTTGTCTGCTTTCCTATATCCAGAGTGTGGGTGGGTTTTTCTTTAGTCTCTTTGACCATGGAGTTTATACCTTAAGTCTCTTTGTTTTGTTTTGGTGGCATTTCAGGAACACAGGAAAAATAAATAGCAATAAATTGTGTATTTAAACTGCCATCCTTGCTTGGAGTCAGGAAACATTATAAAACTAAATTTTAAAATATGCTCATAAGGAACTATAAAATATAGTTTTTCTTTGTCCTCTGATGCATTCTAGGATGAGATCCCCACTGGAATGCCATGCCTGGAGTCAGTGACCATAGGTGATGATATCTGGGATGAGAACTGGCTACCACTGCAGGCTAAAATAGGAAAAGGAGGTGATGCTGCCTCCCATTTATTTACCTCAAGCCTTGGTGGAAAGAAACGGTGTCCTACATGTGAAGAAATGCCACAGAAGGTTAGACCCTTGGGATAACAGAAAGAAAATCACTACTGCAAAGAGGAAATTTAAATTTAGTTGTCCAGGCCTTGAAAAAGCTATATGTTCTGGAATTTAAATGAATTTGTCAGGTTCTAATTCATAATAGTACATGATTTTAAAAAAAGTGGTAGTAGTACATAAGTGGGCAGAGGATCCAGCAGAGGGAAGTCTTATTGTGATTATCTGCCCTTTCAAGTGTTATGATATCTGTTTTATCATTGGCCCACCCAGTCAATGCTTTGGAATCCATAAAAAAACTGAAGAAACTGTTTTCTGAAATTTATTTTTGTTGCATTAGTCTTTTAATATAACCTTGGGTTTCTGCAGTCAGGACATTTGCTCATATTGTGCCTAACTATATATATTTGAAATATGTTTTCCCCTACTTATAAAAAAGAAGAAATACTTGGGAGAAAGAAGATGCAGTTAAGTTACTCCCTAGTATTTATGCTTTTTAAGTACTAGACGATCATGAAAAATCATGTAGCTATGGAAACAATGTTAAATACTACAAACAGGGTTGTTTTTATGTTTATGAGATTCAAGCGTTCAGAGAAGTTGAAGATGTTGGGTGCAGACCCAGAACAGAAGAAGGAGAGTCACAGTGATGTAGAAAGTTAATCTGTACCTTTCCTGTTCGATGCCTGTTTCTTCCTTGCCTCTACAATGCCCACATTATCCTCTTTGTTTGATCATGTGTTACTATTCAGTTTATTGCGTTTTTCTTTATCTTCTAGGATTGGTGTTTTCCTACACCCAAAGATATATGGGATGATTCCTGGCAGTCTTCAGGCCTTGTGAATGGAATGAAAGTAGAAATTAAAAAACGAGAAGAGCTGGATACTCAAGAAAAAAATACTGGTACAACCAGAATTCTAAAGGTAAGTGTTCAAGGCAGGGGATGTAGCTTGGTGGTAGCACTTGTACCCAGCATGTGTGAGGCCCTGGTTTCCATCCCCATCCACCTCTGCAAAAGAAAACAAACAATAAAGAATAAAATATACTCTACAAATTAGCTTAGAACTGGAAGGAAAATGTATTCCATCATCAAATCCTCAGATAACATAAAAAAAGAATAAAAGATAAATATCTAATGAATTTTACAGTAGCATTTGCATGGGTAAGTACTTTCATTCTCAGTAAAATAATGAGCAGTTGATACACTATAGAGGCATAAAATTTATACTGACTTTAGAATAAATCTTAATTAATATTCTCTCTTTAGAATAAAATCCTGAGCCTAAAATTAAAAGCCTGATTAAATCTGTATTAGGCAGAGAGAAAAATAGGCATATCCTATAACAGCCATATTTTAAGCTCTTTTGTAGTATAGACCAATTTCTTCTTTTGTGTTGCAATGTCAGAAAGCAGTAACTCTGGCACAAAATCCATGTTTCATGTTTCTCACATATATTATATGAGTGTCCTGAGAACAGCAGGCAATTTGTGTAAATCATGAAATTTGGTACTAGGTCTCTTATTAAAAATTAGAATTGGGGCTGGTGTTGTAGCTCAGTGGTAGAGCACTTGCCTGGCATGTGTGAGGCCCTGGGTTCAATCCTCAGCACCACATAAAAATAAAACAGAGGTATTTTTAAAAAATCAGATTTGGGGAAGATGAATCTTCTAAGTGATATATGTTGTACAGAATACAATCATTCTGTTTGACAGCAATGATAAAGCCATTCTATAGTGCATAAAATAGTCTGTTCCAGAAATTTAGGTTACTTAAGGGAATGGATTTAGTTTTAGCATAACATTGGCTTTTATATTTTGTGATATCACTTTTTTTAAAAAACATCAGCTTTTAGTCATGAAAGTCATTAGGAAAACTAAGAGGCCCAGAGTAGCCAAGGCAATCCTTAGCAAGAAAAATGAAGCAGGAGGCATCACAATACTAGACCTTAAATTATACTACAGAGCTATAGTAACAAAACCATCATATTGGCACAGACATGAAGACCAATGGAACAGAATAGAAGACACAGAGACAAACCCTTAAATACGGTTGTCTCGTACTAGACAAAGGTGCCAAAAGATAGCCTCTTCAACAAATGGTGCTGGGGAAATCCATATATAGTAGAATGAAATTGAACCCCTATCTCTTACCCTGCACAAAACTCAATTCAAAGTGGATCAAGGACCTAGACCAGAGACTCTGTAAAGAAAATATAGGCCCAAATCTCCATCATATTGGCTTAGGAACCAAGTTCCTCAACAAGACTCCTAAAGCAAAAGAAGTAAAATCGGGAATCAATAAATGGGATGGTATCAAACTAAAAAGCTTCTTCACAGCCAAGGAAATAATCAAGAGCATGTAGAGAGAGCCTGCAGAATGGGATATCTTTGCCATCTGCACCTCAGATCGACCATTAATCTCCAAGATATACAAAGAATTGAGAAAACACCAAAAACCAAATAATCCAATCAGTAAATGGACAAACTGAACAGACACTTCATGGAAGAAGAAATATGAATGGTTAAAAATATATGAAAAGATGTTCAATATCTCTAGCAATTAGAGGAATGTAAATTAAAACTACACTGAGATTCCATTTCATTCCAGTCAGAATGGCAATTATCAAGAATGCAAGTAACACATTGGTGAGGATGTGGGAACAAGGTACACTCATCCATTGCTGGTAGGACGGCAAATTGGTACAACCTCTATGGAAAGCAGTATGGAGGTTCCTCAGAAAACTTGAAATGAAACCACCATTTGACCCAGTTATTTCACTCCTTGGCACATACCCAAAGGACTTAAAATTAGCATACTACAGTGACATAGCTGCATCAATGTTTATAGCAACTCAGTTCAAAATAGCTAGCTATGGAACCAATCTAGGTGCCCTTCAACAGACGAATGGATAAAGAAAATGTGGTACATAAACACATGGAATATTACTCAGCCATAAAGAAAAGTGAAATTTCAGCATTTGCTGTTAAATGGATGGAACCAGAGACTATCACACTAAGTGAAACAAACCAATCCCAAAAACCAGAGGCTGGAAGGCTGGATGTTCTCTCTGATGTGTGGATGCTAACTTACAATAAGTGGTAGGGAGGGAGGAATGGAAGTTCACTGAATTAGACAAAGGAGAATGAAGAGAAAGGGCAGATGGGAATAGGAAAGACAGTAAATGGATCAGACATAACTTTTTTATATTCTTATGTAACTACACGACCAGTGAAACTTCACATCATCTACAATTACAAAAATGAAGTGTTATGTTCCATGTGTGCCGCAGTCCGGTTGGGCAAAATAACCGGGAGGTGATAAAAAACTTGAAGGTTGATGCAGGAACTGCTTTATTATGGAACAACAGCGGTATATATACATAACTGATTACACACAGCTTGATTCAATTATCATCATCCAGATACAGCAATCAGCCAATAAGGAATCCCCACCATCTTAATGGCTCGGTGGCGTTGCCTCACAAACCACTCCTCCTGGCAAACTTCCAGGCGCCATCTTGACTTGATCGCAGCCCCCAACATCCCCCCCCTTTTGTTTTATTAACAAGTATGTGGTTTAAGGACCGTGCCTGTTTTAGGTTGTCCAATACTACATATGGTCCTTACTCATCATTGGATGGTCTGACCTCAAATCATCAGCCTCCTGGCTTAGGTTGGTACCATTGTAATTGGATCTTACCCGTCTTTGACTACCGGCCCAATATATTTAGCCATACTTGTGGATCTGTGTAATCTATACAAACACCATAAACAACCTGCCACAAGCAGAAGGAGGAGGATACAAAATGCCACAATACCAAGCCATTTACTGCTCCAAGTAAGAAGCCCTTGGAAAAATTGTACCACCAATGACACTGTCAGCAAAGATACCCTGGTACTATTACAATTATCAATAGATTAGTTCATAATGCATATAAGTGATACACAGTCCAGGTAAGTTCTGTAAGCAGCTTAAAGCAGAGGAATCCATTAATATGTCAATTCCTTCTTGAAGTATTGATGCAGCAGTTTGTACAGTTTGTGTGATAGCTATCGCAGAAGCTGCAGCAGCAGTAGCAGAAACAGCAACAGCTGTGATGATGGTAGCTGTAATTCCGAAGTCTCATTTGGTTTTTCAGTAATACTGGAAATTCTTATTTTTTTGTTTTCACTGGCACTGGGATGAAAGTAGGAATTCTGGCAATGATGGCTAAAGAAAATTGTATAGCATTCCAGCAGGCACTAAGAAAACAATTTTCTGAACAATTTAGTACATTATCCTGAACAGAATTATTATATATAATGAAAAGGAAAGGTGAAAGTAAACAAAAAGATCTGTTAACCTCCTTTTTTGTTCACATTTTAAAACAATCCTTGTAAATTTCTGAATTTAGGTAGATTATTTCAACATTTTATTAGTTTTTTTTTAACACCTAGAAAAACTTGTAAGCTTAATTAAAATGTCTTTAAAAAGACATCTTTACTTTCATCTGTTTAAACTGTTTAAATCACATGAATAAAAGATATTTGGATCCATTTTTTTTTAATTTTCATGAGCGCTTATATGATTTGGACATACGCACATACAGACATATAACACATAACACAAGTGTGCACACATAACACAATAGTAAAGGCCTTGTAGCTTTTCACAGGCGAAATCTCCATTGCAATGTTTAAAAACTCCACAGTTGTTAAAAAATAGAACTGATCAGAAAAACATTAACCTAGGTCTGTATGAGCTCAAAAAATAAAATTGAAAAAAGCATCCTGGCTACCTCCTGGGTTTGACTCTTCTTTTGATATCTCATCCTTCTTTTTGTAACTTGCATATGGGTCTGAAGGTATTCCCGCAAGTAAGCCCCAAGGTTTTTTACATTTGAAATAGGCCTTAATGGTGCTCATTATTCATTAGCCTCCAGATGTGGGAGAACCATTGTTGCAGATGTAAGGATAGCTAAACTGGAGTTCTGGATATCAGCTATTATGGATTTGAGCCAAATCATCTTTTTGGTCTATAGAAATCGCTTTAGTTAGTCTCTCTGGAATCCAAATCGGCTGCTGTTCTCCCTTGTCACTTACCCCCGAGCGTCCCGGAGTTCCCCCGTACGGGCTACCATTTGCCGCAGTCCGGCTAGGCAAAATAACCGGGAGGTGACAAGCAACTTGAAGGTTGAAGCGGGAACTGCTTTATTACGGAACAACAGCGGTATATATACCTGATTACACACAGCTTGATTCAATTATCATTCAGATACAGCAATCAGCCAATAAGGAATCCCCACCATCTTAATGGCACGGTGGTGTTGCCTCACAAACCACTCCTCCTGGCAAACTGCCAGGTGCCATCTTGACTTGATCGCAGCCCCCAACACATGTGTGTATGATATGTCAAAATACAGTCTACTGTCATGTATAAACAAATAACAGCTTTATTGAAATATAATTAGGACACCACCATGATTCGCTAAGGTATACGATTCAGTGTCTTAGTATACAGAGTTGTGCAAACTTCACTATATCTCTTTTAGAACATTTTCATCACCCCCCTAAAACCTCCATACACATTAGCAATTAAGCCCCTTCCTATCCTCCCAGAGCCTTAAATGACTACTGATCTGTTTTCTGTCAGTAGGTATTTGCTTGTCTAGGACATTTCCTATAGATGCCATACAACGTATGGTGTTTTGTGATTGTCTTTTATTTGGCATTGTCTTCAAGGTTCATCAGTGTTGTTGTATGAATAATTATTTCATTTGTTTTGATAGTTGAATAGTATTTCATCATATGACATAGTACATTTTATTTATCCACTCATCACTTGATGGGATTTGTGGCTGATTGCACATTTTTTTTGTCATTATAAATAATGCAGCTAAGAATATTTAAGTACAAGTTTGTGTGTGGACATGGATTTTAGTTT